ATGCAGATGGCTGGACGGCTTTGCACTTTGCAGCCCAGGAAGGCCACCTGGAAGTTGTGCAATGTTTGCTCGAAGCTGGAGCTGACAAAGATGCAGCAGATACAGATAGTCGGACGGCTCAGAGCATTGCAGCCAGGAATGGCAACTTGGAAGTTGTGCGATTGTTGCGTGAGGCTAGAGCCTGAGCTGACAAAGATGCAGCACATGCAAGGAGAGACTTCAAGGTGTCCATGAGCAAAAAAACACCCCCCCAAAAAGGAAGACACACACACAACTAAACAAAAGAGACCAATCTGGGAGATCCAGAATTTTAGTGAAGAGTCTCTTACTGTAGCATCTCTTAGTCGAGGTCATGTACTAATAAAGAAGGGCACTAAGGGAACGCAGCACTGATCAACGCATTCTAGATCTCCATCATCCGTGCCTCTATTCTTTCCATATCATGACCTTTGGACCTTTGGACCACCCAAATCGACGGGAGTCCAAGACATTCGCCGGCGAAGCACTTCCACCCCCCCCTTCTCCCCCGGCCGCGCCCATCCTCCACTCCGCCGGCAGGTTCCGCGAATGCCGAAGCCAGTTCGCTGCCCGGGTGAAGCAGCTGCTGGAGCATGTGCGCACGGAGAACGCCAACAGCTCCGCGCGCGTGTGCGACAAGCTGGCCAAGGAGCTGTGCCTCGGTTCGGTTGTGGATGGGAGCGCTGAGGAGTGGGGATAGTGCATGGATGAGTGTGGGATGACAGTCGGAGTGGCTATAGGTAAGTAGGTGGCCTAACTAATCATCCCGGAAATGCCATTGAGCTCGCAGGAGGTGCGCATATTGATTTTCAATTTTGCAGCCACTTGCAGCCACTTGCAAGTGGCTGCCATGTGGCTGCAAGTGACTGCTACTTCTGTCCAGAGAATATCATGATTTCTGAAGAAAACCAAGATTTCTGCAATGCTGCTTTGCGAATACGTTCCGGTTTTCTCCTGAGCTGCGCGCGGAGAAATCATGAAATAGGCCAAGACTTTTCCGAGAAAAAAATCCAAACTTCTGCAGAGCTAGCGACGAAGAAGTCTTATGGTTTTTACATGAAGAACTCAAAGTACAGTGTTGAAGTTTACGTGCTTGAGTGACAAGTGGCTGCAAGTGGCTGCCGGAGCAAGTGGCTGCAAGTGACTGCAAAACCAAAAATCAAAATGTACGTCATTTGCTTGCTCTCTGGGAAATACGTGCATCACCTACAAAGCCTTTTTTTTGGGGGAACTGGTTTCCCCACTAAACAAGAAGAGGTATTTATATAGGTAACGAATCTTGATGAGTATCCTCCCCCACAAAGAGGCCCCCGCGACCCAATATCATGTTTGTTTAAATGTTTTCCACGCGACCCCACAACCAGGTGTGGGGTGTGTTTGTGTTGTCAAACCAGCTTCTAGGGACCTCTAGTTGGATCCATTCCATATCCATTCCATACACTCTACCCCATTCCATCACCTGCTACAAACCAACTGACCGCGGTTTTCCTTAACGTCGATTCGTCGATCCGCGGCTGTGGAGCAGACCCACGTCGAAGCAGACCGAGGTTCAAGCAGATGGAGCAGAAGACGTCACTTGACTGATACACACTTTTCGATTCTTTTCTCAAGACTCACCCAGCAAGAAGAACATAGAAGAACCCATTTGCAGTTAACAACTCCACAATCCATGCTCTTGGACATAGAGGTCCAGGGAGGTGGTACCCACACCATCCCACACCCACGAGATGGGTGAACATGATGCTTCCGGAATAAGACTTGCTAGGAATCTGTTTTAAGTCTATCCTGCTGAGCATCCGTGTGGTGCAGACTTTCAAGAAACGGACTTGAAGAGCTGGTCGCTATCGGCGCAAGTGGCGGAGCCAATACCTTCATCCCTGCAACCAAGCTCGCCCCATACTTCTTTGATGGGTGTCTCAACCTCTCTAGCATTACGCTCCCGCAAGCCCCGATCGAACTAAATTCACCAACAGTATCACAAGTGCTACGAGAAGTACCGCAAGGATGTTTTGGCTCATCAGGGCTGAGATGCCTCAAGCTCCCGTCAAACATTAACCTGTTAGGCCCTCTTGCCGGTGATAACTGCAAACTCCTTGCATTCGTCGACCTTTCTAGCACTTCGATCACCGAAATCCGAGAAACTCCGCGGTGGCTGGTAGAGGCTGTCCATTTCCGCTGTCCAGAGCACATGGGTGTGTCTTGAAATCGGGGGACCTCCAACCAATGGGTTTTTGGCCTTTGAAGTTTCACGCACGATTGTCTCTGTGCAGTGGCTGCCCTCAGCTAAGCGTAAGGCGCACACAAACGGAACCTCGACATCTATACAATTGATGTTCTGGGATTCGGGTTTATTTCCTTTCTTCCAGGGGGTTCAGAACGCCTGGGAGGTCTTGCTATTTTAACCCACATCACCTTCACGACCAGAATCGCATGAGGCCACCCTTCATGAGCTGCAATCCTCAGAAGCTACCCACTCCTAGCGTTGAGCCCGGTGGCCAACCCGAGGTACCAAGGCTTCAATGAT